TCACCCTCTCTCTCTCTCTCTCTCCTTATATCACTCTGTTTCTCCCTCTCTCGTCCGTCTTGATGCTCTCAGTAAAATGACATTTAGAGCAGCAGGGTGAGAAAAGCAATCTGCCAACTGTCCCAGGAGAGAGAGAGAGAGAGAGGGAGGGAGGGAGAGGGAGAGGGAGAGGGAGAGGGAGAGGGAGAGAGAGAGAGGGGGGGGGTGTAAATGTAAAAATGAGTAGAATAAAAGAAGAGGAAGAGAGAGAGAGAGAGAGAGGTCTGCCTTTCCCTCCAGGAACACTCTAACTCTCCGCTCTGGCCTCGCTCGCCCTAATGGATGTGTGTGTTGTAAGTGTGTGTGTGTGTGTGTGTTGTCAGTATGTGTGTAAGTGCCTCTGTTGTGTGTTGGTCTGTAGTATTTACTCAACATTAAAATCCACTCGTGTCGTTAGTCCGGCTGAATACGGACTCTTTAAGTCCAGGTGAGGGGGGTCAGTCAGACCCTCAGAGTCCCTCAGAGTCCCTCAGAGTCCCTCAGAGTCCGGGTTCTCAGGGTCAGACCCTCAGAGTCCGGGTTCTCAGGGTCAGACCCTCAGAGTCCCTCAGAGTCCGGGTTCTCAGGGTCAGACTAACAGACTGTGAGGACTCAGTCTGGTCTGCATGAGTCCACGTTAGGTTGAGCGTTCTGAGCATGCTCCGTAAACAGCTGGGTCGAGTTCTCCATATTCACAGGAAACCTTCTCTGTATGAATTCTCTGAGGTCAAAGGTCACTTTCCATGGTCAGAGATCGTTTAGAGCGCCCCCTTTCCAATGTTATTACAACTATTGATGACTAAGTCTGGCTTACTCTAGTTAACTCGAGTTTACTCTGGTTAAATCTAGTTTACTCTAGTTTATTCTGGTTTATTCTGGTTTTTAATCTAGTTTACTCAAGTTTATTCTGGTTAACTCTTGTTTACTCAATTTAAATCTGGTTTACTCTAGTTTCTGCTGGTTTATTCTGGTTTATTCTGGTTTTATTCTGGTTTATTCTGGTTTATTTTGGTTTAATCTGGTTTTATTCCAGTTTTCTTTGGTTTATTGTAGTTATCTCTCAGTTATTCTGTTTTCTTCTGGCCTATTTCTGTTTTTCTCTAGTTTATTCTGGTTTGTTCTGGGAATTAATTTGATTTACTCTTCTTTATCATGGTTTATTCTAGATAACTCTTGTTTACTCAATTTAAATCTGGTTTACTCCAGTTTCTGCTGGTTTATTCTGGTTTTAATCTGGTTTATTGTGGTTTATTGCGGTTATCTCTCAGTTATTCTGTTTTCTTCTGGCCTATTTCTGTTTTTCTCTTGTTTATTCTGGTTTTTGAGGTCCAGTTTATTCTGGTCCACAGTAGACCTGATCCTCATGTCCCTGATGTGTGTTTGGGTCTAACTCTGACCCCCCACCCCCTCAGTACTGACTCAGTTTAACCTCAAAGACTCTGACTGAGGACGAACACGGACATCTGTGTGTGTGTGTGTGTGTGTGTGTGTGTGTGTTAATAGGAAGTGACAGCGCTGTGGTCGCCATGATGTCTGGCTGTCAGCTGTGAGCTGATTGGCCAGCTGTTGGCGAGCGGCGGTCTGGGCCCAGAGGGGCGACTCTGTTCTCTCTGAATCTGTTTTATTATTGAAGTTCTGAAGAGGATCTTCATCCTCATCTTCATCATCCTCATCATCTTCATCCTCAGACCTGGACCCTGCTCCGGTCTGACAGCAGGTCTGGTTCAGAGGAGGACGGCGTTCGTCACAGTGTTCCTCCGTGTTTGTCTCCTGACGTCTTTAAACTCGGGTTTGTCTCCTGACATGTTTAAACTCGGGTTTGTCTCCTGACGTGTTTAGACTTGGGTTTGTCTCCTGACGTGTTTAGACTCGGGTTTGTCTCCTGACGTGTTTAAACTCGGGTTTGTCTCCTGACATGTTTAAACTCAGGTTTGTCTCCTGACGTCTTTAGACTCGGGTTTGTCTCCTGACGTGTTTAAACTCGGGTTTGTCTCCTGACGTGTTTAGACTTGGGTTTGTCTCCTGACGTGTTTAGACTCGGGTTTGTCTCCTGACGTGTTTAAACTCGGGTTTGTCTCCTGACATGTTTAAACTCAGGTTTGTCTCCTGACGTCTTTAGACTCGGGTTTGTCTCCTGACATGTTTAAACTCGGGTTTGTCTCCTGACGTGTTTAGACTTGGGTTTGTCTCCTGACGTGTTTAGACTCGGGTTTGTCTCCTGACGTGTTTAAACTCGGGTTTGTCTCCTGACATGTTTAAACTCGGGTTTGTCTCCTGACGTGTTTAGACTTGGGTTTGTCTCCTGACGTGTTTAGACTCGGGTTTGTCTCCTGACGTGTTTAAACTCGGGTTTGTCTCCTGACATGTTTAAACTCAGGTTTGTCTCCTGACGTCTTTAGACTCGGGTTTGTCTCCTGACATGTTTAAACTCGGGTTTGTCTCCTGACATGTTTAAACTCGGGTTTGTCTCCTGACGTCTTTAGACTCGGGTTTGTCTCCTGACGTGTTTAGACTCAGGTTTGTCTCCTGACATGTTTAAACTCAGGTTTGTCTCCTGACGTCTTTAGACTCGGGTTTGTCTCCTGACATGTTTAAACTCGGGTTTGTCTCCTGACATGTTTAAACTCGGGTTTGTCTCCTGACGTCTTTAGACTCGGGTTTGTCTCCTGACGTGTTTAGACTCAGGTTCGTCTCCTGACGTCTTTAAACTCGGGTTTGTCTCCTGACGTGTTTTATCTCGGGTTTGTCTCCTGACATGTTTAAACTCGGGTTTGTCTCCTGACGTGTTTAAACTCGGGTTTGTCTCCTGACATGTTTAAACTCGGGTTTGTCTCCTGACGTCTTTAAACTCGGGTTTGTCTCCTGACGTCTTTAAACTCAGGTTTGTCTCCTGACGTGTTTTATCTCGGGTTTGTCTCCTGACGTGTTTAGACTCGGGTTTGTCTCCTGACGTGTTTTATCTCGGGTTTGTCTCCTGACGTGTTTAGACTCGGGTTTGTCTCCTGACATGTTTAGACTCGGGTTTGTCTCCTGACGTCTTTAAACTCGGGTTTGTCTCCTGACGTGTTTTAACTCGGGTTTGTCTCCTGACATGTTTAAACTCGGGTTTGTCTCCTGACGTGTTTAAACTCGGGTTTGTCTCCTGACGTCTTTAAACTCGGGTTTGTCTCCTGACGTGTTTAAACTCGGGTTTGTCTCCTGACGTGTTTAAACTCGGGTTTGTCTCCTGACGTGTTTAAACTCGGGTTTGTCTCCTGACGTCTTTAAACTCGGGTTTGTCTCCTGACGTGTTTAAACCCGGGTTTGTCTCCTGACGTCTTTAAACTCGGGTTTGTCTCCTCACATGTTTAAACTCGGGTTTGTCTCCTGACGTGTTTAAACTCGGGTTTGTCTCCTGACATGTTTAAACTCAGGTTTGTCTCCTGATGTGTTTAGACTCGGGTTTGTCTCCTGACATGTTTAAACTCGGGTTTGTCTCCTGACGTCTTTAAACTCGGGTTTGTCTCCTGACGTGTTTGGACTCGGGTTTGTCTCCTGACATGTTTAAACTCAGGTTTGTCTCCTGATGTGTTTAGACTCAGGTTCGTCTCCTGACGTGTTTAAACTCGGGTTTGTCTCCTGACGTGTTTAGACTCGGGTTTGTCTCCTGACATCTTTATACTCGGGTTTGTCTCCTGACGTCTTTAAACTCGGGTTTGTCTCCTGACGTCTTTATACTCGGGTTTGTCTCCTGACGTCTTTAAACTCGGGTTTGTCTCCTGACGTGTTTAGACTCGGGTTCGTCTCCTGTTTGTCTCCTGACATGTTTAAACTCGGGTTTGTCTCCTGACATGTTTAAACTCGGGTTTGTCTCCTGACGTGTTTAGACTCGGGTTTGTCTCCTGACGTCTTTAGACTCGGGTTTGTCTCCTGACGTGTTTAAACTCGGGTTTGTCTCCTGACGTGTTTAAACTCGGGTTTGTCTCCTGACATGTTTAAACTCGGGTTTGTCTCCTGACATGTTTAAACTCGGGTTTGTCTCCTGACATGTTTAAACTCGGGTTTGTCTCCTGACGTGTTTAGACTCGGGTTTGTCTCCTGACGTCTTTAGACTCGGGTTTGTCTCCTGACGTGTTTAAACTCGGGTTTGTCTCCTGACGTGTTTAAACTCGGGTTTGTCTCCTGACGTGTTTAAACTCGGGTTTGTCTCCTGACGTGTTTAAACTCGGGTTTGTCTCCTGACGTGTTTAAACTCGGGTTTGTCTCCTGACGTGTTTAAACTCGGGTTTGTCTCCTGACGTGTTTAGACTCGGGTTTGTCTCCTGACGTCTTTAGACTCGGGTTTGTCTCCTGACGTGTTTAAACTCGGGTTTGTCTCCTGACGTGTTTAAACTCGGGTTTGTCTCCTGACGTGTTTAAACTCGGGTTTGTCTCCTGACGTGTTTAAACTCGGGTTTGTCTCCTGACGTGTTTAAACTCGGGTTTGTCTCCTGACGTGTTTAAACTCGGGTTTGTCTCCTGACGTGTTTAAACTCGGGTTTGTCTCCTGACGTGTTTAGACTCTGGTTTGTCTCCTGACGTCTTTAGACTCGGGTTTGTCTCCTGACGTGTTTAAACTCGGGTTTGTCCCTTGACGTGTTTAAACTCGGGTTTGTCTCCTGACGTGTTTAAACTCGGGTTTGTCTCCTGACGTCTTTAAACTCGGGTTTGTCTCCTCACATGTTTAAACTCGGGTTTGTCTCCTGACGTGTTTAAACTCGGGTTTGTCTCCTGACATGTTTAAACTCAGGTTTGTCTCCTGATGTGTTTAGACTCAGGTTTGTCTCCTGACATGTTTAAACTCTGGTTTGTCTCCTGACGTCTTTAAACTCGGGTTTGTCTCCTGACGTGTTTGGACTCGGGTTTGTCTCCTGACATGTTTAAACTCAGGTTTGTCTCCTGATGTGTTTAGACTCAGGTTCGTCTCCTGACGTGTTTAAACTCGGGTTTGTCTCCTGACGTGT